TAGACGACGCATGGCTGCCCTGTCCTAACGCTCTAGCCAAAACGTGGAGTGGGCCGTATGCTGTCTCTGCCGGGTAGGTTGGTCCGGGGCTCACCCATGTGGGCTGGGACTGCCCCCAGCTATTCGCCGACGGCAGTGAATGCTGACCGTAACCTGACGCTTGGGTTCGGGCAGAGATGCCGAGGCTGCTGCTTTCGCTGTAGGGCTCGATCCTTTCGCGCTCTTGGCCTCTTTGTCCTGCTCTAGGAGGTGTTGCGGGCGAGGTCGCCGGCGTCCTCTCCTGGAAGAGCGTCCGTAGTTTCGAGGAAAATCTGTCCATTGCGGCCATAAAGGATGTCTCTATCCTGTGGGCCTGCTTAGACATCAAATCTTCCACCACGGCCTGCTCTTGCATGGACTCGGCCGTGCGATCCGTCGTCACTAGGACGCTGGCTGAGGTTCTGACTGCGTGTTCGGTCTCGGTGACAGTGATTGGTGAGGTGGACTCAGGAGTCTCAGAAGTCATTTCGACTGCTTTGTTTTTGAGCTTTGCATGTGCCCTAGTTTCCACCATGAGGTTTTGACAAGGATCCCACCGGGCGTGCCAAAAGTGTCGGCTGCGCAAATCTCACTGCCTGGGGTTCCGGGCCGAGGGGATGTGTGTTAACACGTAGCTTCCTGCTTTTGGATGCGGTGCGGTTGTGCGCGGGCGTGCCAGCACGGTCTACCGTGCGTCGAGATGTTGATGTGGATAGAATGGTCAAGTGGTGCGCTTGTTTGAACTCGTCTTCTAATCAAACGATTGTAGCCGAGAGAGGAACTGATCTTAGCTGTAAGGTTCACGGCCTGAGCTACAAGGCCGTTTAGGGGTGGTGTTGATGGTGGGTTTTGGGCGGTGCTCCGGCGCGCTGCTCAGTGAGCGGTAGTCGTATGATAAATGGGGTGAATGAATGAGTAACAAAGATGGTGCTCCGGCGCCTTGAAAATCAAGGGTCGTATGATATATTGATGAATGAATTTTCCTTACAAACTAACACTACTCCTAGGAAAACAAGTAAAGATATTGAAAGTGCATTACAGGAAAATATAATTTGCTCCGTGGGAGGCTTTTGTTTGGTGTTTGAACTCTGTGAATGTAGCTTGAGCCTTGTATTTATAGGAAGAGTTCTTGGAGGAGTAATCGAGGCTAAAAATCTGCATGGTGGAGCCTAATTAGAGCAAGTGGGTAGTCCAATCGACATTTGGGATTGTGAAGCATGGTGGTGTGACCCCATAAATCCCGGTGAATTTCGGTCGCCGCCCTGATCGTGGGTTCTGCGCTTCTGGCCGTGGAGACGCATTTATTGTTTCTGATAGTTGGTGACCCAATCTCTCAAACTGCAAGAATTCTTGTGAGAATGTCTGCGTCTAATCACTTTGATTCCTATCACCAAATCATGACTTCAATCATTTCCCACCTTCCCTCGTGCATTAAATGCTTATTCGTGGTCAGTGGGTTTGCTGCCATAAACAGAGGCATTGCTTCATTAAATGAAGCGTGGGACCCTGCTGCCACTTGATGATCTGACTTTAGTACCTTTTGCCGTGATTTTGTTCGGCTTTAGCCTCGGCCTATAATCAAGGCTGAGATGATCATGCCTTCGCAACTTTTCCTTTGCTTTTTAGGAAGGCCAAACATCTTGGCGAAACGCCGCGTTTTAGTTTCACGAGCAAGTGTTAGGGCCGAGAAGAGGGGCTCCTTCGGTCAGTTCATGACCGTGATTTATTAGGCACAAACACTTTTATATGACTTACATCAATGTCCTAAACCCTAGAATTGACTGAAAATTCGTCCAAGAAGTTTTCGTAAACAAGGAATCCAAATAGGAAAGTAAAGATCACAATTCCTACAGGGAAATACTGCTCAGCCCAATTGTCACACGATTTGGGGATCTTCGGCCTTCCAGAAAAATCAGTAAAAATATATTTTAGAAAGATAAATGTCTTATCTTTCCAACCATATATAGCACGTAACTTGGAAAATTCGGGAAGGCTTCCGTTTCTTTATATTCACGTAATATGTACGAAACTGTCCTGTCTGCACGTGGGCTAACTTTACTTGTAATACTGTACCAATTGGCTTGGTAGAAAATTCTAGAAAAATCACAGATTGAACTTCAAGGTGTTAGCTTTCATCTCCAATTGGCCTTGCGCTAAAATTCCTCCGAAAAGTTGATTTTCCCTTAAAAACCTTCTAAGAGCGCAGAAAAGCTGAAAATCAGAAAAGTGAAGTAATAAGCCCTTTTTAAATCTAATTCTTCTACAAAACCTAAGTAAAAAGAGTACATAAATGAGTATATTTATGGACTTATGACTAATCTCTCAATGCCCTTCTATATCTTGCTAGTGAATTCGAGATTAGGCTCTTTGAGTTTCTGGTATGTTCTTTGTCTCCATGATTTCAGATTTTCTGTCTCTCTTGATTTGTCTGGTTTGTTTACATATTTTTTTATTTTTGGTTTCTTTTTAGATTTTCTAATTTGGTTCTCAGAAGATGAGGAGGAAGCTTGGGATTAACTAGTTACTGAGATTGGTGGACATATAACAACTTTATGAAACAATTGAGCATACAAGGTCGTCATGAACAAGTAAATTTTTCCACGGGTATCAGTCTTCACCTTAAAAAGATATGTGTGGATTAAATTATAATGATATCCTTTGCTATTGTCTAGTTATTTTTCCTTTGTAATCTTTTGGCTTTGCTATTTCTCGTATGTATTTTTTTTTTTCCAGACTTGTATAGTATTGAACTTAACAATTTGCCAAATGAGTGCATATAATTTAATGTGAAAAAGAAAGGGAATTATATACTGTCACATTTTCTGTGTTTCTATCCATGCCTTTGACCAACATGAAGGCCAGTAAATGGTCTTTGGTGTCAAAATTGGATATTGTCAATGAATTGCTAAATTAAGGTATATGACCCTATTATGCCAAAGAACTCTTCATATTGGTGTTCTTGCAGAAACCAATTTTTGGTTAATGGATTAAAAGTTATGATGGGAAGCTTCTTAGCAGTAAGCACCGAGGCTGCTGGGGCTTATGATGAAGAAAAGGTAAATTATTTTTTGTTTATTGAACTCCCCCAATCTTTTGAGTTTTGTCAACAGAAGATTCTAACAATGGCATAAATTGAATTGATTATTGGATATGCATGATAGAAATTTTTTTTTCTTTAGATTTATTTGGTCTGCTCAAGGCTCAAACCATATGGTAATTTATAGGTTGGAGCAGATATAGTTAAAAGAGCTCTTAGTTACCCTCTGAAGTTAATTGCCAAGAGTGCTGGTGTAAATGGAAGTGTTGTCAGTGAGAAGGTATTCTTTCGTTTGGCTTTATGTATTATGTTACTATCTGATTTCTATGTTTGTTTAATAAGTTGAAGTCTCCTTTTCCAGGTGTTGCAATTCTGTGAGGTTGAATGCGCATGTGGGCTACAATTCTGTTTTAAATGCTTATCTGACTTTTGTTAGGCTGGTGGTTTATAGTCTAAGCTTTTCATAAAGATTTTTTGTTAGTTATGCAATTTAGGATTGACTAGATGTTTGCACTTTGCATAAGCTTGCTCTTTTATCTGATAAAGCTTTATGTTTGATGTTCTTATCCTAATTGGATTAGCTCTTTCAGTTTGTAAGAGAACAAGACTATAGAGGTCTTAAGTGCACTACTGTGTAGGAAGAGAAGTTAAGGAGAATAATAGTATCCTCCTATATTGAGAGAAGGAACAAAACAGAGAGTTTAAGAAATGCTCCAGTGTTTTTTTCCCTTCAGCTTTCTTCTCCTTCTTAATTATTATGCTTTGAATGCTTTAGTTAGATAAAAAAACTCCAAGACTTTTGCTTTGGTTATTGTGTTTTTATTTTTTCCTAAATTAATTGTTTATTGTCATGTAAATGGTGAATTGTAGGATTGGTCGAGCTGTACCATAATGGCAGCCATGGTGTGGACATTGAAGGTCCAACAGAAGTTCGCATGGAATGGGCAACATTTATGAGCAATCACATGTCCTTCCTCTCTTTATAAGTATAGGTTAATGCTATGGATATGGTATTTTTTGTATGGATATAGTAGGAATCAAGATTGGTAACTATGTAATTACTATTGAATATTCAAGTTTTATATGAAAGAAACAATTTTTTAGTATATATAATGGTGTGGATAATAGCAGATTTGGACCTGAATTTATTGCTTAGAAAATATTGTGGTTGTTTTTCTAGTTAAAATCGTTCTATAGAACCATTGGGGAAAGAAAAAAAAAACTAAAATCTAAAATCACTACGTTAGTTTTACATATGATACACGACAGTTTTTTCACAAACAACTAATAAGCGACAGTTCTTTTTAAACAACCGCCATCTTTACCCATAAATGACGACGGTTTTATAAACCTTCGTCTTTACCCATAAATAATGACGGTAATTAACAAAAAACTGTCATCTTTACATCAGAACATCAACGGTTTTACTAAAAACCGTCGTCTTTGCAGATAAACAACGACGGTGAAAAGCCATCATAGTTTGATACTCCAAAAGATGGCGGTTGATTTAATGACTGTTTTCAAAGCATCACAACGATGGTGAATCACAGTTGTCTATTTCATTTTTTTATAGTAGTGTTCAAAACTGATTGTTACATTTTCATCCTCATATTTGTTTTTGAATACGTCACTGAATTTCTTCTTTTTCTGTATTCCATGTTTAGGTACAATAAGATTAAGCCAACCATAAGTTAATCTAAAATCAAATCATATTAACTACAAGAGTTTTTTGGAACATGAAACTCCGGTAAGACATACATATGAAATTCAATCTTCTGTAAGGATGGAAATTTAATTACCTCCTACTTTTTGGTCTGAACCTATTTAATTACCTCCTACTTTCATTCTATCATTTGGAATTTTTTACAAATATTTGGCGTCTATATAGCATTATTATACATACATAAAAATAAAAATATTGAAATAGGGATATGATTTGAATTTTTCAATACTTCTTAAGGAAGCTTTTGAACCATTGTGCCGAGAGTTTTGGGTGCCTTTTCAACTTGTCATTGTAATCTACATAGGTGATACCAAATCGAACATTGTATCCAGAACTCCATTCAAAGTTGTCTAGCAATGACCACGGAAAATATCCCTTCACTTTGACACCATTTCTAAAAAGAAATAAGAAACATGAAAAAGTTAAATGTATTGATGTTAATCAAATGAATCAATAATTCAAATATAAGAAGGCTAGACTATATATATACTTAATTAATTTGTTAATGAGCACTTACTCAATTGCACTTTGAACATAATAGAGATGACGATTGTAGTAGTCAACTCTATGAGTATCATTAAGGGCTTCCGCAAGTGATAATTTGGGATCATTGGACTCATCCACACCTACAATGTAATTTTTTATTATGTAGTCTTTGTAGCACTTACGCATGTTTTACACCAAATATATGTGAAACATGATTATGCAATTATTTAAGGCTAGAAATAATTACCATTCTCAGTAACGTAAATGAGTGGATCATGATACTTCTTCTTTGTGTAGAGTAAAAGATCTTGAATTCCTCTTGGATAAACATTTAGCCAGTTCGAAGCACCCTGCACTCTCATTTGAAGATATTGTTGAGATTGTTAGGATTTACATTTGTATGTGGAAAACAAATAATCGTCCAAATTATAAGCAATTAATTTAGTGCTTTGATGTGTACCTTTGGACCAATAGGGACCCCGTTACGCTCAGCTGCCACAACACATATGAATTTCAAAATCTAATTAGTATGTGAAATTTAATTGCTTGAAGTAAGTTCTTAATTTGTACTCACATGAAAGATTAACACGAGCATCTGTTATGTAGCTTGCATATACAGAGTTATTCTGCGGTGCATCGCTTGCATAGTAACCAGCATAATAATTTAGTCCAAGAAAATCAAATGACCCAATCAACAACTTTGATTGTTGTTCTGTGAATTTTGGTAATCGACTTCCAACAAAAGACATGCTTTGTGGATAGTCACCACTTGTCAATGGCTCCGCAAACCTACAAGAACGTGAAAATTTCAAATATTAACTTGATAGTTCCTAATGTACTACTGGCTAGTAAGTAGTAAATATTATATTCATAAGTAAATTAATATGCACTTGCCATCCAAACATAAAATCCAAAGCTCGTAATGCAGCATTTTTATCTTTCGTTTCTTTTCCTTCGTCTTCTCCGCTTCTCTTTCTCCCTGCAAAATGAATAGCAATAAGAGGACCACACCCGGGGGGTGTTGGCCAAATGCCCTCTGATGCCTAAGTCAGTTCAATCGATCTGTAAAGAAACAATAGCTAAAATAGGGTACGGGAATATGTATGTGTGGTGGAAACCGGGTGGCCGGAGCCATGGTCATGGCTGCGAGTCCAGTAGGTGGCACGGTGGTGAGAGGTGGTGGCGCCATGTCGACCACGGGATCATGGGTGGAGTGGCTTTGGGCCGTCGCCGATTGAGCCATTGCGGCGGG